CGTAGACATTGCTTTGAAATAATAGTCAGGTTCACTATGTTTTTTCGTTCAGAATTATGGTAGATTAGCAAACCTATACATTTTTGGAAAGATCATCGCATGAGGAATCCGAAAAACAATGTTTACATTTGCGGAGATACCGGTATAGCCGCCATTTTGGATTTTGAAATTGGCCGCCATAAAATACAATTTTGGCCGTATTTCTGCCTCTAATCACCTCTAAACTAGACTTTTAAAATATGGCTAATCCTATGTTTCAGGACCAAGGAAATCTATTGGTGAGCATAACCAGACTTCTAACTGTAACTTGGTGTTTTTTCAGGAAATATTGTCATTATAAACCAAACAAAATCCATGATTATATAGCATATATTACCCCTTTCACCTGCGGGTTCTACGGCCCGTGGCCGGGACATCGTGCATGACTTGATATATCTCTGCGAAGTTGCACATGAGTGGTCCTACCATGCTGACTGTCATTCTGCAAGCATCCGAATTCATGACGCTTCGCTTCGTGCTGAAGAATTACCGACAGTGATTTCGTTCGGACATGGCACTGTACGAGCGCTCAGTGCACGTTCTGGCATTCAAGACTTGATCTAAACGAGCGTTGGTGCCCGATTGGAGTCAGCTACATGCTGTGATGGCTGCGCTGAGAGTTGAAACGTCCATAGAAAAATCCAAAATGGCGGCTATACCGGTATCTCCGCAAATGTAAACATTGTTTTTCGGATTCCTCATGCGATGATCTTTCCAAAAATGTATAGGTTTGCTAATCTACCATAATTCTGAACGAAAAAACATAGTGAACCTGACTATTATTTCAAAGCAATGTCTACGTACATGCGAGCTATCAGAAAAGTTGGTCACTGCTATAGTTTAATACTGGCCAGCGCTGCCTGCCTTACTTCCTAGAAAAGTCTATGTGCGAGCGAATTTTTGTCACCGCTATACTTTAACACAAGCTCGTTTTTCCCCGCTCATTTTACACAACCCAAATATAACATGAAAAATATTATGTAAGCATGTATACTATATATATGGATAGATATATATTTGAGCAACAGATAACATTGATATATTTTTAGCCTAATTAATCACCTGAGACAAAAATGTATATTGCATCACTCATGGCAAAATAAATATATTGAGAGCGCAGCTGCTATACTAAGAAGTTAGAAAAATATAGTTAGGATTCGAAATAATTCTCTTGGGGCAGAACAATACACTGCAATGTCTACTATGACAAATAACCTCTTACTCAATCACAGAATTTTCTAGCCAAAATCAATTAACAGAAAGCACCATAAATGACTACACGGAATGTTATGCAGCGATAATGTACTATTATACAAGTAGTGCAACGCACTGGTTACTTCACAATGTCCAGACGTGAGATAGGTGGCTAATTAGCTACTCCAGGCGGGAAAAATGACAAATTGTCATTGACATTTTGACAATTTGTCTGTGTCAATTTGTCATTGACATCATGACAATTTGTCATTATTCACCCCTGGCTGCGTTAGTTAGATATGGGAGTTGCACTCCTACACTCCGTTACTCAAAACATGAACATTGAAATGGGAGCTAAACTCTGGTGCATGTGGGATGGTGTCTAGCCTAGCAGCAACATTTATCATTTAGGCGAACAGGAACACTAAGACAAACAGTTAATATTAAGTATTTTCCAGTAATTGCAGTTATTGCACTAGACTTTATGCACTTGTGGTATCAGTTGCGATGAAACATTGCACACGTCTATATTTGTTAATCGACGTGTAATCGAAACCCTGCTCAAAGCTTTCATCAATCCCAGTTACGCAATGTCGTTCACGATATCAAACATCACAAAATCACGTCAACCGAGCACCTGGCTTAGAGCCTGTCTCTGAAATTTTTACAAACAAACTAGAATCACACAGAAAGGCACCCGTCCATCCATTGTGAATTTCTGTAAACCAACTACCCCCACCCCGCAGCATTCCCCACATCTTACGTTAACCTTCATCTCTCCCCCACCCCCCAGCATTCCCCACATCTTACGTTAACCTTCATCTCTCCCCCACCCCCCAGCATTCCCCACATCTTACGTTAACGTTCATCTCTTCCCCACCCCCCAGCATTCCCCACATCTTACGTTAACGTTCATCTCTTCCCACCCCGTTTAGTCATAGCCTTTTCCGAGCGTCGGCAGGGAGGGGAGAGAGCTCGCGCGATCAATAGTAGGCCGTGCCGATGCGGAGACCAGACGACTCCTGGCGTATCTTCGTCTCAAAGTCGTACAGGGAGATATCGGTCGGGACAAAGCCGCTGACGCCGTGGCGACGGAGGTGGGGTCCACCGGTCTCGTCCTCGTGCATGCGCTGCAGCGCATCGCGTAGCGCCACCTTCAGGCTCTCTGCGATGAGACAATGACGAGACGTCATGGCGACGCTATTACAGCGTGCTATTACGCCGAGCGCACACGCGCGACTCCCACAATGTGCTAAACGCATGCGGGCGAAGCTGCGTTAGTGTTCAATCTCAATCCTATGAACACCTGTCTATAAAGGACACTCTTGACATTTCCCTCATGTGGTAGTTATACACTGAAACGACCTCTATAGAATAGACACCTGGCTATTAAGCACACTTTTGGCATCTCTCTTATGTGGCAGTTATACAGAGAAACCATCCGTATCAAATAGACCCGTGTTTGTAACCATACGATTCTACATGTACTCACTAGGCATAATGACTCCACCAGATATTCTACTAGAAGATGATAAGAGAAGTACACTACTTCTATTATGCACATCTGCTTCCTCAGACGCACACACGCCCGCACGCACGCACGCACGCACGCACGCACGCACGCACGCACGCACGCACGCACACACACACACAATACACAAACAAGCATTAATTGCTACATTCTTGCAAATACGAACGTACAGCAATGCACAACCATGCACGTGTACCCACACGATGTACAAACACACACACGCACGTATGCAGGCACGCAGATACGCGCATGCACACACACGCACCGTGACCGTGACGCGACCACACGAACTCACCGGGCAAGTTCTTGTTGATGACGACGGGGTAAGCTGGCAGCGGACCGAGTGAGGCGATCACGTGTAGCTTGTCCTTCATCGACGGATTCTTCATGAGGTAGGAAGCGAGCACATTGGAATCGATGCATGCGCCATCAACGGTGCTGTTCAGAATCATCTCCAGCGACTTTATGTGCGAGCCTGCAAAACAAGCGCACGTGCGTGCTACACAACTGCTGGTGCACATATACATGTCGGGAAGAACAACAATGAAAACAAATTGTTTTTATTTACACCTGATGATGTCAGTACTAAAGATGTTAGAAAGACAGATGGGCGACAGAACGCTACTGCACGTGTGACTTTAAGACACTTTGCTACTAAGCAGTGTTTTTTAGAATTCTAGACATATTGCTGATTCACTGCAGCGCCTCTCAAACTCACCATGATGACATCAGTTTCACAAAAAAAAGGAATCATCTGGCTGTATGATCAGATTGAACTAGAGCATCGTTCTGTATAACTATAGACAATCGTACACAGTGTATGTCACTGTGACAAGCAAACCACGTTTCGTGCTATATACAAGCTAGTGTCACCGATGCGTGCGCACAGATGTCCCCACCTGTTTCCACGATGTGACCAAAGAAACTGGCATTCTCTCCCATGGATTTCAACTGCTTGAGCACCTGTATGTTGCCGCTGAGAGACTCAGAGTCATTGTACGCCCACGTGTGCCCGCGCAGGTCATCAAATTTCTTGATCTTCTCGCTTGGAAGAAACACAGTATGATGGTTAGTTAGAAAGATATGTGTGTGACTCAACAGATTGATTTGACACACCGAAAACTATTTCAAACATGCAAGTAATAGTTTTTTTATTCCGTAAGTACACACACGTTCATAATATGATTGCAGACGTATAATGCAGACGTATGATTGCAGTGCTTGATCTATGTAAACAGTGTCAGCTTATTTCAAAGTGAGACCTTTGGCTCTTGGAAATCACCACGTCACCATAGTAGACAGGGACTTTCTCGGCAACTGCCATTGGGTGGGAGTGCTTTGCAGCACAGGGTAACAGCTCAACCAGAGCATCCTTCTCTTTTAGCAGTCGTATAAAAGAATACGAACACATGAATCCTGGAAAAAACGTGTTTAACGTACATTAGTATGGCTGAGAAGGTCTATGTCCCCCAGGGTACTGCCGGAACGTACCCTGGGTACGGTCCAGTATACCGAAACGTACCCTAGTACTATCTAATATGCCGGACCGTACCTCGCCTACTCGACTAACGAGTCTAGGGAGTCCCCTACGCCTACTCCCTAACCCTAACCATATAAAATAGTTACCAGGGTACGTTCCGGCAGTATCCTGGGGGACATAGACCCTATGAGCATTAGTATGGGCTCTGTACAGTACAAGCAAGGCAATGTATAACAAAATGCATCTTGCATGGTGTGGCATAGCCCGACTCGGCTCTGTCTGGCTGTTTCACGTCGTAGGAGACTGTTTCACCTCTCAGTGCTCTCACCATGTTGTGAGATGCCAGAAGGCAACTCGTGAGAAGTTGCGAGTTGCGAGAAATTAACGCATGAAAAGTTGTGTGAGAACTTGTGGCTATAGAACCTAACTCATTATACCCAATTCCTAATCCGCATCTAATTCTACATACATATTGACGAACAACGATTATAGAAGTATTTTAAACCTACCAAGATCGACGTCATTTCTTGTGAAAGGATCTATACGGGTGGGCGGCGGCCCACTCCAACGCGATTCATAGACCAACTGGACTTCGCGGTTTAACACACGCTCTAAATACCAAATGATACCTTCAAAATACTCAACTGGAAGACTGGGCGATAAATAAGTAATGCACCTAAGCCTGTTATTATTATTATCACACATATTTGCTATTCGAGTGGAATGTTGGCTCGAGAAATGTATAGACTATTTGACGATAAAATCATAAAATATAGGCCAAAACGCCGAACGGAAACAGCTGAGTTCATTCGAAACCACCTAACACGAACATACACTCGTGAGATTAAAAAAACTCTCATACAATCATCACACATTAGTTAGTTATCCACTTTTTTGATATAGACATATATATATATATATATAACCAATAAAGTTTATACAGAAGTTAAAATATGTAAAATTATATATCATTTATTAATCGCCGAGAGGTACAATACATGTCAAAGGTCAAAGCCAATGCAAGGATTTCTTCGACATTTTCCTTTGGGTAACAAATTACATAAAAATGGCATTTTAAATGCCAATGTACCTCAATTATATGAGAAATATATATATATATATATTCTTCTTTTAGTGGCAAGGGGATTGTTGACACAATTTTCCTCCAAGATCCTAGAAACGCTATCCTAGAACGCCATCGGCTTAGCCTTATGACTGTCACTGTGACTATGACTGAGTTATGTACTAAATTAAATGTCTATAAATGTCTAATGAGTAATGTAGGTAGGCCTAGCTCTAGACTAGCACTGGCAGCAAGAACAAGCCCGCACGTACAGCACACACGCGCCCATTCACTATAATATTAATAACAAGTTGTTATTATACTTATAGTCAATCAATGGGCGCGTGTGTGCTGTACGTGCGTGCGGGCTTGTTCTTGCTGCCAGTGGACTCTAGTAGTAGTAGTACTAGTAGTAGTAGACTAGTAGCAGGAGTAAGATAATATAGGAGGAGTATGACACTCCAAAACACGTTAAATTCAACATTTGCTTGCCTAATTTTACCGATGATATATTACGTGCAACTCGATAAAAATTGCATCTAAATTAGCGTTGGACATCCACCTTCTCAACTCAAACTTTACTGTAGTTTCAATGCCTGCTTCTTTTTATGGAGATATAGCTTTGAACGTCACACATGGTTCTATAGCGGGTATGCTTTAGGCCTTGTGGCCTGTAGCTTTCCTTGCCTTTCGAAACTGTTGTTATGCCAGTGTGAGGACGTATGGTTGGCGGTGGGCAGCGGGGTGCCAATGGGGGTTTTGAAATGTACGTGTACCCCGGTAACGCGCAACAGGGGCATTCTTGTGAAAAGACAAGAGACCAGTTCCTCACGCTGCATAAGCAACAGTCGGAAGCGGAGAAAGCTAAGCACAGCCTAGTCAAACGCTATGACCATGTGTGACGTTCAAAGCGTATATCTCCATAAAAAGGAGAGGTTATGGCCGAAACTAAGTAAAGTTTGAGTGAGAGGTGGAGTGTCCAACGCTAATTTAAGTTGCCAATTTTATCGGTTGCACGAATATCCTGCCTATATATCTTACTCCTCGGTAGTAGTAGTGAGTAGTACTAGTAGTGGCGCAAATCCACGTTTAGGCACCTATAGGTATCACGAAGTTGCATGCACAGATTTCTGTGTATCATCACTGATGCTCAGATCTTTCCGCTATATCAAGATGATGCCAAACCCTAACCGCTATAACCCTAAGTCATAAAGTTAACCTTACTCCTTAGGTTCACGAAGGTGTTAGGGCTTAGGGTTGGGCGGTAAGGGTTAGGATAGGCGCTTTGTTGCATCATTCCTTGGCATTACGGAAATGAATGATGATACACAGAAATCTGTGCATCACTTCGTGATACCTAAGGTGCCTAAAGTGGATTTGCACCCTAGTAGTGCTCATAGGGTCTATGTCCCCCAGGGTACTGCCGGAACGTACCCTGGTAACTATCTGATATGGTTAGGGTTAGGGTGTAGGCGACTCCCTAGACTCGTTAGTGGAATAGGCGAGGTACGGTCCGGCATATTAGATAGTACCAGCAGAGCATATAAATCACGTTGATTTATATGCTCTGGTACCAGGGTACGTTTCGGTATACCGGACCGTACCCAGGGTACGTTCCGGCAGTACCCTGGGGGACATAGACCCTCTCAGCTTTAGTAGTAGTACTATAGCCTGCCTTCATTAACTGCTGCAGGGCTATATAGAACATCTTGAACTAGATTTCGCAGTGACACCGGGTCCCGAATAATTCCATGAAAAATGGCTCCCAAAACGCAAAATGATCGGGCTGTTTAACACTTAATATTTATCTACATCGACATCTCACCTATCTTTTTGAACACTTTCCACAACTTTACACTATGTATTTATGCATTTATTCCTCACAAGTCAGCACTACTGGCAATTTTGTTTGAAATGCTCTAGCGTGTGCACGCGCAGCGTGAGAAACTAGCGGTCGCCCAGTCGCCAGTGGCGATTAGAAAATCGATCGGGCGACTGCTTGCTCGTGTCAGCTGGTCCGGCGGGTCGACTAGATAATCGCCGCACAGGAAATAAAAAAATTACCAAACTAACCTAGCTTCTACATTATTCTAATGAAATGAATGGTAAATTTAATCAAATATAGACTAAAAATAGTCAAATTCGGAAGCTTAAAGTCCATGCGAAGTAGGACTGTTATCGATGCCCACCTCATCGATAAATCGCGATGGATTTGCGTCCGATATCGATATCGAAATAAATCGAAAAATAGCGATCCGATTTTGTTGTTGTTGCTAAAATGTAGCCAGCGAAGCATCGGTAGCATTTTTGACTGAGCGGCGCCATTATCGGAAGTAGTGCAGGGCGCATGCATACAGAGACAATCAATAACTGTGGTGTTCTATTATCTCTGGTGCGTATTCTGTCTCACTGATCTCTATAATAAAATCTGTCTACCGTAAAAGCATGTCTGCTGCTTCGCCATCGCCGCGACGCCAGGTCAATCTGGTTGAATTCAGATAAATATATTTCGCCCATGTTGTATTTAAGCACAGCGATGTATAAAATGCATAGTTATCATAAGTAGAACACAATACATGAGTTTACTGTACTTTCACGGCTCATGTTTTAGTACATAATTATTAAATCGAATCGAATCGAATCGGATCGAAATATCGGAGAAAAAAAAATATCAATAATCGAATCGAAATAATTTGATACCAATGACAGCCCTAATGCGAAGTACACAAACCTATGACACAAACTCTATGTTTGTTGTGTTAAATTTTTTAGGTTAGGCTGTTAAACCTCTGCTAATTCGATAATACTGGGCATCCCCGACCAATCAGCAATCGCGTAATAAAATATGATAATTTATAGGAATAATGGGCGGTCTTCAAATATGATAATTTATAGGAATAATGGGCGGTCTTCAAATATGATAATTTATAGGAATAATGGGCGGTCTTCAGAGACTGCTGATCTTTGAAATCGACTTGCGGACTTATTCCGATTTACTACACATCAGTGTATAGAAACGAGTAAAAAATAAAATTTTTAAGAATACCTTAGAATGCACATCACCAAATTGCACCATCCCCCCCTATAAAAACGTCCCCACATCCGAGTCATTCACTTTGCTACGACAGAAATCCTGGACCAGTGCCTACTGACCACTAGGACCAGTACTTCCTCAGAGGCACTGGTCCTGCTGGACCAGTGCCTCCAATTATCAGTTTTTTACCCTGACGCGTGACGTCACCCGAAATGTAATAGGCTGCACCATAGCTGCCATGTGTTTTGTCTACATATCCGGTGACGTCATGCGTGCACACGCTAGAGCATTTCAAACGAAGTTGCCAGTAGTGCTGACCTGTGAGGAATAAATGCATAAATACATGGTGTAAAGTTGTGGAAAGTGTTCAAAAAGATAGGTGAGATGTCCATGTAGATAAATAAGTGTTAAAAAGCCCGATCATTTTGCGTTTTGGGAGCCATTTTTCGTGGAACCTTTCGGGACCTGGTGTAGCTGCGAAATCTAGTTCAAGATGTTCTATAGCCCTGCGGCAGTTAATGAAAGCGGGCTATAGTACTAGAGCTAATGTAGGCCCTAATGTATGTGGAATCTTTTCGTCATTTGCAAATGTTAAACCATAGCCTCACTGTGTGAGTGTGAACCAGGCATTGCATTGGAATTGCTGTGATAAATCCAAATCGAATCCACCAAAAATCCTCGGTGTAAGCATTGGCCAGACGAAACTCAGATTATGTGTCAGTGTGTGTCCAACTCCACGTCACAAAGTTAGTGTTTAATACTATTACTGAAATACTCATGGCTTGAAACTAACGCTAGCCCGCTCGCTCGAGGCTAGTAGTAGTAGAAATCAGTAAGGGCTAGTACTTAGTAGAATGTCTGGGCTGACCAGCTCTGTTGGCGAGTGGGAATGCCTACCAGATAACATATTACCAGGAGTAAGATAATCTAGGATCCCTATATTATCCTAGGATAATAAGGATAATATAGATATCCTTAATAATATCGATATTAATCCGATTAATAAAATCGATATCGATCCTTAATAATATAGATATCCTTAATAATATCGATATTAATCCGATTAATAAAATCGATATCGATC